CAGGACCCTGCCTGGAGGCTCTGATTGGCTCATGAAGGAGTCAAGACCTGCAGACACACTGACTGACCCTGCAGGACCAGGACTGGACACCCCTGGTTTAGTGTCCAGAGTTGTTTTTTTTCCCAACCCAACACTAAACACCAATTCCCCAGTCCTGGTAATAAAGGGCCAGCGTGCCTGCAGATTTTCCTACTGGGAGAAGGCAGTACTCCAGTCCAGTTAAGACAATAACCTGGGTAAACTGGGCTGCCTGAGGATAACATCCCACAGGCACACTGAGCCTCCAGGATCAGGACTGAACACACGGGCCACTCTGTGAGTCTAGGTACCCCTGCCTTGACACAACAAATTCACACATTTCTCAAGAGAGAAAAATATGAGTATTTAAATGACGCTCGTTTGTCGGTGAAATCGCTCGTCGTTTTGTTAAGCACGCTGTCACCCTAACCCTTGAAGGTTATATACTTTGACAGATTAACTAATTTGAGACACAATAGTTTTATACACCGTATTGAAAATATCCCATTTTCACGTCGGCAGCTGCATGTGAATCGTAAACTCGTGGCTTGTTTCTGAGGATTCATTTAGTGTATTTTAGGATTTATGATTTGCGTTTTATTTTAAAACTGAGTTTGGCGATTCACAGGTGAAGTTTCAGATTCGTAATGCTCTCCTGCCAGGTGAAACTATTAGTAACTTTTGTGTGTGTGTGTGTGCGTTTACGATAAAGTGTATTTTTTTAGGGTAAAGAAGATGTTGTTTTCTTTTAAAAAACTATTGATCTCAGGTTTGGGCCTCTTCTTTCGTCGTGAAACGGGTCGGGGTCTGCGGGAATATGATTTTCTCCCAGTTTTTCTAAAGAAATGTAAATGTGTTTGGAACTATTCCGAAATAATCAATAAAAAGCGATTACTGTTTTGTTTTTGTTTTTAAAACGGGCACAGTTGCACGTCGTGCAATTGGCTTGGGAAAACGCTTTAGTTTAATTTTCTTTTCTCTCTCTCTCTCTCCCCCCTCTTGTTCCCACTCGCGGATTAAGGCCAGCGGACGGGACGGAGCGGTTCTTCCCCCCCGACTCGGTTCCGAAGCCCGGACGCGTGCCGACCCGTCTCACGATGGACCAGTTCGGGGCGGCGCTCGGGCTGCCCTTCCGCTTCGGCCCCTCCTGCCTGGACCTGGTCGGGGGGGACCCGGGGTGTCCGACGTGCGCGTCCTACGGGCCCTTCCGGGCCCACCTGGGCCTCTGCGACCCGAACCCGCCGCCGGCCTTCGTCCGGAAGCGCAACGAGCGCGAGAGGCAGCGGGTGCGCGGCGTGAACGAGGGCTACGCGCGCCTCCGCCGGCACCTGCCCCCCGGGGTCGCGGACGGGCGGCTGAGCAAAGCGGAGACGCTGCGGGCGGCCATCGGCTACATCCGGCACCTCCAGCGCCTGCTGCGCCCGCCACCCGCCGAGCCGCCCGAGAGAGCGGACCGCAGCAGCGACGGGGAGTCGGGGGCGAGCCGCGGGGACGGCGGGGAAGTCAGCAACTAGGCGGAGTTGTGTGTGTGTGTGGTGCTGACCTGTTTGATGACGGAAAAAGGCCAATTCGGTAGACGAAACAGTAGCCACAGGCTGTCCTTTAGTGTCTCAGACCCTTGTATGTATACAGATAATGCTAATTTCACACGTACGCAAGTCTTGAGGCGCCAGTCCGCCTCAGAGCACACTCACACCACGGCCAGTTTTCCAGGAGGCCAATTGACAACTTGGACCAGAAGAGGACCTGCGAACTCCAGGAACTGGACCAGCCAGTGAAGGCAGCAACGCTAACCCGCCGGTGAATTAGACACGATCCTCCGGACCTCTCTTCCCCGCGGACTTGTTTTATATATTCGTCTACTTTATAGAAATCAGGCCGTGGTCCGCTTCTTCTGGTAATGCACCCCGCCTGTGCGGACAGGCGGTGTGACCGTGTGGCCAGGCAGGCGCGCCGGCCGGATCTCCGTCACGGTTTCGCTCAGTCACGGATCCGGTCCAGTTCAACACCGACGCGGAGATCCTCGTCTCCCCTCTCCTCTCCAAAACTCGCAATGCGCCGGGAGGTGCAGTCGTATCGCCCTGCAGCTCCCAGCTGACAAACCCCACTGGAGCCCAGCAGGTGTGAGCCTGGCCAGTACCTGGAGGGGAGACTCCTGGGAAAGCTGAGGCTGCTGCTGGGAGAGGTGTGAGTGGGGGCCAGCAGGGGGCGCTCACCCTGCGGTCTGTGTGGGTCCTCATGCCCCAGTATAGTGACGGGGACACTAGACTGTAAACAGGCGCCGTCCTTCGGATGAGACGTCAAACCGAGGCTCTGACTCGGTTAAAAATCCTTAAAGGTCATTAAAAATCCCAGGGTGTCTCTCGACAAGAGTAGGGGTGTTACCCCAGTGTCCTGGACAAATTCCCCCCCCTGGCCTTTACCCCTCATGGCCTCCTAATAACCCCCATCTTCTGGTAATATACACTAATACCAGGCGTATACAGGACTCATAAGAAACAGTTTAAGTCAAATTATAAAAAACGCCTTCATGCTGTAGAGAGGAGGGTACGAAGGGTGCCGCTGTGAACTCGGACTTGGGTCCGAAGCGAATGAGGCAGCGGGACGGGCGATTCGTCCAGTTTCAGGAGAGGTTTTGTCGGAACCGCCCCCCTCACTCCTGCGAGGACTGAGGTCTGTAAGGGTGTGGAGAGGCTGGCAGGAGAAAGATCGGCAGAGCGAGAATTATATACTGTACATAGCCGAGACGAGGGTCTGGCCTCTTTCCCTGACTTCTGTTAGAAACTCCATTTCCTACTTGGTTACTTGTTACAGTTTAATAGTTCATAGTAATGAACAGTATATAATTCTCGCTCTGCCGATCATGGCCTCCTAATAACCCCCCTCTCTGAACTGGCTCCATCCCTCTGCTCTCCTATGTACAGTGTATACGGTACGTCTCTCCATTCACCTCCCTGTTAAATATACTGTAACGCAACGGGTCGGCCCCCCCACCGTCGGGGGCTCGAACCCGGGACTCCCGCGTCACTCAGCAGGGACCCAGCCCGGTGAGCCAAAGAGAGATCTCTCCACAGCCCAGTAGCTGTAGTCCTGCTATCACAGGGAAGGGCGGCGACGTCACCTGCTCTGGTACGCCGGCTCTTACACAGGGCCCGCCTGAGCCCCCGTTGCGTTACAGTATATTTAACAGGGAGGTGAATGGAGAGACACACCGTATACACTGTACATACTGTAGGCATACCTTCACTTCTATGCAAATATGTATGGAGAATTTGATTAAATACCGAATTGTATACGCGCTTATATACTGTACATCGCGTTATGTACGCGGGCGAGAGATCTGCAAAACCTCACCGATCACATTTCACTGTCAAAGTTAGATTCAAGGCGTTTGGCGGAAGGTTAGACTTTGCAAGATGGAATATGGAAGAGGAACGTGTATTCATCGTTAATCTGTTAGTAGTACTGGGTAGATACCACAGTCACCCAAACCGGTCTAACGCTACTTGCTACGTTAACGCTTGTGAGCTGGAAATGCAGTGTTACTTAAACGCCATGAAAAAGTCGAACAATAAAAAAGCAATAAATACAACTGATGTATGCAACATTGTTAAATTATTGTGTGCGGGTTTGTAAATACCCCTGGCAGGATTGTTTTGCGTGTGTGTGTGCGTGTGTTTTGTTCATTTAATTTTGGATACCTTTTTTTCCCTTTGCACTATTTGATGTTCAGTAAAACTAAAAAAAAATATTTACGCAGGCGAGCGGATGTGTGCAAGATTAGGATCTAACCTTCCTCCCGAAGTACCGTCATAAAAACTCCGTTAATGGGGCTGAAATTAAATGTAATTGCTATTATTACTAGATTTTCCGAAACACAAATAATGACAAAGCAGAGAAAGAGAGACTGAATGAACAGCCAGTGCAATTAAAAACTACACAGAGCAGACAGGAACTGTAATAATCTGTAATAACCGAGTCGTGTTATACGTGAATTGATATTTATTCCATTTGTAGCCTTTTTTTTCCTCAAAAGAAATAAAAAAAACGGCCCCAGTCTGAGTTCTCTGTAATTATGGATGATGAAAGGCAAGAAAAAAAAAAGATAATTAATACCATCACCTTAATAACGAGGTCAGAAAAGTCAAAACGTTTCACACCACCCAAACGAGATAAAAAAAAAACCCAACTCGCGTCAAAGTATATGAAAAAAATATCGATGTTTGACCAGCTGTTGTGCTGACGAAAAGAACCGCTTCACCTTTCCTGTGTGACTACATTACATCTACACAATATTTTATAACCCATATGATATAACCTGATGTCCTATCAAGCAGTGTGTAGCCTAATTTTATAGCACAAACTGATCAAAGCCAAATTTCCTATTGGCCCTTACCAATCATGGCCTCCTAACAATCCCCCTCTATGAATTGGCTTCATTACTCTGCTCTCCTCCCCACTGAGAGCTG